TAATTTATAAATTAGGTGATTCATATACATTCATAATAGATGAATATGTTCATAGAAAATTACATGCTGGGATCCCGTTTTACCATATTTATTTCCATATTCTTTTGGTTGTCATCAGTATAAAATTAATATAAAACTTGAAGATATTGTTTTCCTCGAAATTATTCTTGTATCCCAAATTTAAAGATATTTGTCAGTAATATTCACTTTTCTTATTTTACTCTACTATTATTACGTTTTTGATCTTGATTGTTTTCTTAATTAAAAGTTTCAAACTAAAAGAATTGTTTATTTATTAAGACGTACTTCCATGTTATTACCATCTTATGATAAACTTACATGAATCAGTTTATAAACTAAAAAACTAGTTTACAATTAGTAGTTATGCTTTTATAAACTTCCGGTAAAGTCATTCGTTAAATTATTTGAAACCTAAAACCAGCTTCACGCATAATATGAAGCATGTTTAGACTGTATTAAATGTATCTACATGCTATAAAAATATTAAATTACGGATTTTAACTCAGAGTTAAAATATTAAAACTAAGCATTTTTTATGTTCACTAATCGATTTTAATTTTGAGCGTTAAATAAATAAATAAAGTTAAATTTCCAAATCTACCTTACTTCACTATTTAAAAAAATATTTTAATTATACATTATTTAAAAAGTATTAAAAGTATGATTAAGAATTTCATTTTGCTTTTTTGAAAAAAATGTATCCCTAACAATTACAACAAAAATCAGACATTACGTATATATTACGATATAACGAAAAGTTTCTTGCCACTTACATGAATTGTTGATTCGAAACAGTGATCCATACAATGTTAAACTAATAAATAGCTAAAAATGGATTTCGTAAAAGATAAATAAATTGTTAGCTTTTCATAACTAAAAGCAAGGGAATAGTTTTGTAAATTGATAATGCATAACTTTAATAAAGTTCTTAAATTTCTTATTTTTACTTACCATGATTAGCAGAAGCATCTACAACTCCAGGTAAGCATACGAAATTTTTATTACATTTTGCAACTTAACCTTTCTGCCTTGGAAAATAATTACTTTTAATTATGATGTTTAAGTTTTTCCGGTACATATATTTTTTGGGAGGCCGTAAAATGAGTATTACAACAATATCTATGTGAGGTACTTTGATTCACAAAGTTTATAAGAATACGAATTAAATATTTCTCAGTGCCAGACGATTCACAGGCAAGAGTCCCCTTGCCATCAGGCTAACCATGGGGCTTTTTCGTGGTTTTCATCTCCGTGTAACTCAAATTCGGGTTAGTTCCGTTGAAAAGTCCTCCACAAAGGCAAATTTCTCCCATTATTTAGTCCAGAAGTTCTCTTGTCTTCTGAATTGGGTTCAATTACAAGGCTACAGATTTGAACATTAGTTATCGTATACCCAAATATTGGGTTGGCTGTTCAATGACGGTCATGAAATAAAATAATAATATGGTATTTAAGGTTGCCAGAATTGAATAAGTACCATTTTTCTATTTGGATTCTGAGTACACAACTAGTTTTAATTTTAATTCAATTACTATGAATTATAAGTGATTTAGTTTTAGCAAAACATTTTCAAAAACGCTTAATTATAATAAGAATTAATTCGTAATTTTAAATCAGGTTAGAAATAGTAACTTGATGATGTAATTTATAAATTAGGTGATTCAATAAATAGATTGATCTTTGAGCTAATCTAAAATAACGGATAAAAATTTATTGAAGATCAAGGAAGTAATAACAGACTCATTTTTTATTATACATAACTTTAAGCTAACAAGCATCACTGATGTTATCTTTAAAATATTTGAACTTCCACAGAACACAGAAACTTCCTTACTTTAATTCGCGACAATGGCTGATGCTAAATCAATGAGGATAATTCCTTCTTCAATCGTCTCTCCTCCTGACTGATCTAATTAAGCCTTTTTAATGTATTTTTCGGATCTGAGATTAAAAAATTACTCTTCACCTGCTGTTTAAATTTCGCGTCTCTAACACAAACATCTCAAGATTTCTAAGAGAGAGAGAAAGACATGCACACACAGCCATGCGCAAACTTATCATTTCGTTAATATTGATTATTGTGAAAGCTTCATTGATAATTACATTTTGATTATTTTTTGCATTATAGCAAAGCCTACCACACAAGGTAAGTCACCGATTTTTCGAATTTCAAAGTAATTGTGTACGATTAATGATGATGTAATGACTGAAACAAAGTAAAAATTTACCAATATATTTACAATAATTGAAATGTATACACTCTTCAGTCAATGTACAGTACAATGCAGAATAAAATTCCGAGGAAAATGTTACTGACAGAGAAGACCATTAGAAAGGAAAAATATGGGTAGAAAATTCTAAATCGAATGTCTGCATTTAGTCAAAACAGATACAACAATTCATAAAAGATACATAGTGGTGATCATTTTTTAGGAAAGATGACCATTTTTCCATAAAACTAGTTGTCAAATTCTAGAGCTGTTTATTTTCTATATTTTTTTTAATTGCCCACAAAAAATTCATTTAAGATTCAAATAACGTCCTAGACATCCAGAATGATTAACAAATTTTTAAAAAAATCATGTGAGTTTGTGTTCTTTTCCAGGTTCTCCACAGCAAACGAGTACGGTAATACAAATTCACATGAAATGGGAATTACTACAAACGTTTAAAACTTCCTAATTCATTTACTGCAAAAAATCATCTTCCGAGAATCATTATTATATCTCAGTCCTCCAATAATTAGAACTCAAGTCTTAAAAATGCTTTTGTACCTTAGATTAATGTTTTTAACACGACATTGTAGGTAATTACACCAGCTTTTCCCATTGAAAAAAAAGTTTGTTTTAACTGGAGACGGGAACCTTTGTCAATTTTTTTATTACAATTGATGCTTTTTCAAACATAACAACGCATTTCACAGTATCTGTTTTAATTTATCAAACTCATCATAAATAGACGCTTCAATCTCTCTTTTTCTCTCTTCTTATCAGTTTTTCTTTCATTTAAATGAAACCATACATTTACAATTTGATTTTTCCATTTCATTTCGCTAAGCATTTTTACTTTTCTTTTTTCTGCTTTGCACTGTATATGATTCTCCAATGTAGCATCAGAAATTTTATTTCATTATCAATGTGGTTTTTTTTTAAAGTCATTTTTGTTTTTTGCTTATTTGAATTTTTCTATTTGAATTGATTTATCGTAAAATATTGGATTTTTTGAAATTAGCAAAAGTGTCAGAATAATTGATACAAAGTTTTTATATTATGATTATTGCAGAGATGACTACTACTCCTGCTATGTACTATATCAATGTCTTCATTTCTAATTCTAAGAGATTTCTTTTTGGTTTATTATTTTTAATATTCAATTGCTATATTCAATTGTTTGGTTCAATATTTTTAATAATCAATAGTAGTTAATCTATCTTTCCAAACCAGATTGTTAGAACATTTGTACACATAATAGTACTTTTGTAAATATGCAATGAGTTTTGATGGTTTAAGTTAATTTTGAATTACTTGAATTGTTCAAAAAGTAAATGTATACAGAAAATATACAGAAAAAACACTGACAGAACTACGAAACTGTGTTTTTTGTTTAATTTTTGACTTCCTTTTTACCTCAGCGCTTTGGTGTTTTTAATTCGATTCTTATTGGGATAGATAGAGTTTCTGAGTTTTTTTGGAAGCTTTTTCCGTTCCTTGGTGCATTTTCTTCTGCAAAAAGAGTCCTCCAAATGCAACGTATATTTTCCTACAACCATTAACGTTTTGAGGAATATTAACATGTTACCGAATAGCTTTTCTATTAGTTCCTCTCCCTTTGCTTTCGAAATCAAAATTTTGTTTCTAGAATGCCATAAATTTCAGAAGAAATTTTAGAGACCAACAAAGGTGAATACATTGTCTCCATAATTGTTACTTACAAAATGAAATGTTTTTTAATAAATGCCAGCTAATTAATTGAGAGTGAAACGCTAAATACTTTACTTCCTTGTCTGGTAAAAATAATTGATTGTGAACTAAATGCTGGTGAACGTTCCTTTTTAAAACTAACATTAAAGTCACAATCATTCTTTTATTTGTCAAAAGAACGCTCAAAACTGAAGCATAATTGAAGTTAATATTTGGTGAACAATATTCTATTTTTGGTAATGTCACGTTACCTCAAATTTCATGTTATGCTTATATTTGTGTATAGTTAAATTGCTAATTTGGATTTTGCTTTAGAACAATTGAAATTTAAAATAAAAAAATAAAATAAATATGATATATGTTTTTTTTTAATATTTTTATTCCAGAAAAATATTACATTGTTTAGATACATGTTTTTTGTTTAATGCATTTTTGTCTTCTACAGGAGCATAAATATAATGTGCAAGTTTCTCAACACTTGCACAGCTTAAGGACTGAAAGAAGGAAAGTAGACAAGCCTGACGTAAATCACAATTGCACCTAATTTATAGTTTTCTATTTCTGAAATACACAAAAAACAACAACAACAAAAATTTCAAATTGTCTAAGTGTTAAGGAAATCCAGTCGTAAATTCACATTACTTCCGATTTATGTATTTGTTTTACATTGTACATTATTTGCCATGTATTAATGTTAAAATCATTGCTTTACTTCTTAATAAAATGTTTTAAACTGAGGCAGATTTGAAGTTGATATTTTTAACAATATTTAAATTTTGGTTTTTTGAACATACAATTGACTTGCTACTAATCATTAACAAGTTAAGATCTTACTGCATGAAGCAAAATTAAATATATGTTTACATTTTAGTTGTCTTAAAATGCTTTTTTATTTTTTGTATCTGTTTTTATACTGTTTGTTTTCTTAAGAGTAACTCAGTATTGAAAAACCATATTTTTTTCGAAGGATGAAAATTTTGCATCCATATATTCTTCTGTGTTATTTGATGACCAGAATGCTCGATAATAGCACAGCACGCGGAAATGTTTATTTCCCTGCGTGAAAATTCTGACGTTTTTTTTTAAATTATCCTAAACCCTCTCTCATGTTTATTACAAAATTCAGTGTCAAGTTCTTTTAATTTTGAAAATGAGCAGTCAACAATACTTACAGTCAACAATAAATGAAAAATATGTTGTCATCATAAGAGTAAAGGACGATCACTTAATTCCAACATTTATTAACCTATCAGAAAAACAAGTGAGGTAGTGTTTTGGAATTAAATATTAAATTTTAATAATTATAAATACTTATTTAGTAACACGTTTGTTTTAACAAATGGAACATTAGCTCTTTTGGATCATTTACCCTACAGCGAGAGTAAGGCTTGTTGTATCATCATCAATTCATTTTAAAATTTATGCATATCTCATTTAAATTATTCGGAAATTTAAGTTGCATTGTTAATTTATTTTTAAACTTATTTTAAAAATGTAATATTGATCATGCCCGAAAAATCTTTCACAATGGCTAAAGCGCAGATTGAGAAAATCTATTTACACACTTCGTTGTTGAAACGGAAAGGAATAAATTTAAAATTAAGGCGAAAGTTTTGCTTAGATATTTTGGAATTTAATTTTTAGTTTAAATCATTTTCAGTATAGAATTTGATTTTAAGAATGAAAAAAATAACTATTCTTATTTTAATTAAAAACACATAACCATGCTAGGAAAGGGTTCCTTTTTTCGAAATAAACATATTTCAAAATTTACGTTATATTGTCTTAAAAACTTCCCCAAATGTTACCTTATGTGACTTCCTTAAACTTTCACGTCAGTTATGACAGTCATTTAAAATTAATTTCAAAATGCAACTTCGTTATACTTTAAAAACTTCTATGACTAAACCTTTAAGAACTTCTAAATACAACTGAAATGGGTTATTATGTGTTTCACTAAGAAATAACTGAAAATAAAATACATAGATTACTTTTCTCTTATATTTAGAATTAGTATTTGAATTCAAAACCGGAAAATGTATTACAAAAAGTAGACAATTTATTTTACATGGTAAGCAATTCATGTTATTTATTTATTTTAGTTGGGTTTTGGTGATTAATAAATAATGGATAATAAAATAAATCGATATATTATCAATTGGATAATAAAGGATAAAAAGTAATCATGAAGTTTGTATGAGTAATACCTCAAAGCCTTTTGTAGTAAATTATATCTGAACATTAAATGATCAAATTGTTTTTTTAAACCTTATTCTTGAAATGAAATTGAACTTTAATCAATAAAATACCAATAAAACTAGTGCATAAAAACTAAAAGAAACATTGGCTTATAACATAAAAATATAGAACAGTGGCTTATTATATTGGAAGAAACTTCTGTTATTTGGATTGAATAAAAAATAAAAAAACTTTTCCGTAAATTTCAGAGTATAGAATAATTAGGTGCGATGAATTTCAGAAACTATGTAAATAATATATTGTTATAAAATTCTTGCTCAGTTTCTTATACGTTACAAAACGATTTTTAAAGGAACAATAAAGGAGTAAATAAATTAATTAAATACAAACACCACACAGCTATTTTTATAAAAAAGCGACATTAACCAAAAGAAAGTGATCAAAGTATATAAATGAATCAGGCAGTGCCATGTCTCAAAAAACGAATCCTGTCTCAGACCAAACACTGTTTCGTGATAAAAGGTTTTTCACTTTACAATTATTGGTAAATAAATTTTGATGCAAGAATACTAACAATTTATAAGGATACACTTATAAAAACAGTCATTTGTGTCAGTAGCTAATCAAAGCCGATCAAGTGCATCATACTTTTCTTAAAGTCGATATCTTGCCATGTTTTAAATTAGTCTATTATAAGATACAAATATATGTAAGGTGAATGCTATTTACAGGGTTAAATATGTACAAAAACTAGAACTTCAATAGTGGCAACTATTTATTTTTTATTTACACAAAAATTACGCATGATAACAAGTTTTACCATCCTTAATGCAAATACCAGCATTGAATGCAACTGGTTGTAAGTGGTTTAAAAGTTGCAGGATACTTAGCAAAGCCTGTTTTGTTCGTAATTAGAATTTAGCAATCTATAGACTAAGTAATGTTTTGAAAAGTTCTGAAGATATTGCTATTAATGGAACCTGTAATCTTAACAACCAAATTAAGGCACAAGGGCCTAAATCTGGGGAGTATGGTTTATAATGCATTAGTTCCCAAGTCTATCAATTTTTTTTCTTTCTCACTGATACGAGGACTACTTGTATGTTTTAGAATCTCTCTTCGAAGTATTTTAATCATCATTTTGTTGTTATTTCACAAAACAATACAGCTAGTTTAAAAGATAAAGTTCGTTAGGCTGTTTATTTACAAAAGAGTGACACTACTGTCTGCCTCTTTGTGCAAAATATATAAATATTTTTAAAAATATTTCTACGAAGAAATAGTTAGCTGAGTGCAGTTTTAATGAATTTCCTCGAAGAAGTTTTGATAGAGCACGGAGAAAAAAAAATTCTAGTGAAAATTTATGGTAATAATATTTTTGTATGGAAATAATGGTAATAATATTTTTGGTAATAATATTGTAATACGGTAATAATATTGTATGGAAATAATATTTTTGGTAATAAAAAATCTATTAATTCTGGTTAATAAAACAAAAATGTACTGTACTTAAACCATTCGTTTGGTAATTTTGCAGTCCAAATGGTAATGGCCCGTATGGTAATGATTTACTAGCAAAACAGTTGTTCAAAATTATGGTTCTTGTTATCACATAGTTGAAAATTCAAAATTGAGAAGTATATTTAACCGAAAAAATCGTTTTCATTCTATTTTCTGAAGTATCATGATAATATTACCCAATTTTACCACATTTACCAAGCATTATTTTACATTATAAAACCATGTTTTGTTGTTAATTTTACCAAGATCATTACCAAAGTGCTTCGGTAAAAATTACCGTGATTTTTGTTCTTTGCAAGCAGCCAGAAACAAAATAAATTTCACAATGTTCTGGTAGTTTTGACCAAACATTTTTTCTCTGTAAATCCTAGGATTTGCTTATTAAAGCGTAGTTTTAGTTCAAAAGACTCATCTTATTGCACTTAGCATATTTCCTCTTTTATCTTTGGTAACAGAGCATGCAGAGTCCACCTCCAGGAATGCAACTGCGTCTGCGAATTAGATACGGTCAAATATGCATTGATATTACAAAAAATTAGCGTTTGATTGTCAATATTTTTCAAATATTAACTTTAATAAAGTTATGCGTAGAAATTTAATTTTTAGTTGTTTAAATTTAATATAAATTTCATACAATTACAATTAAGTTTTTATAAAAAGGAGAAAAAAATAATTGTTTATACTAAGCCCATGCCTAATGAAGAAATCAGAAATAAATGTTTAACTTGCAGCTTATATTACTAAAATAAAATTTTTTGATACTTAAAAAGAAACAAGTTAACAAAAGTGTAATATATAATTTATGTTGATTTAAAGCTTCTTCAAGGAAATTCATTACCATAATAACAATAAAAGTACAGGGTAACAAAAAATTATAGGGATCACTTTTGTGGTTATCTACCACTAAAGTTTTAAAACCTTTTTACATATATAGCATACTGATCTAAAGCTCTACTATTTGACTTTCAATTGCAATACTATTTCATAAAATCACAAAAATGCTTTTGAAGAAATTTGACAAAAAGCTAATTGGTCAAGTACAAGCATTTTTAGAACTTCGATGGAGCCACAAGATTATAGAAACCCATTTTAAAAAGAAAGGTATTGCGATTTCACTCAGCCATATCAGTCGCATCAAGAATTCAAAACTTGGATCGATGCAAAATAATGCAAAACCAAAAAGAAGTGGACGGTCAAGCAAATTGAAGAAATCAGATTTGCAGAAGCTTGATAAGATGACATCAAAACCGGATCCACCAACACAGGCAAGCATGGCTAAAGCTCTTAACGTGAGTCAGCAAGTTGTAAGCTATCAACTAAAACAAAAGTTGAAGAAAAAATGCCATAAAAAACCTAAATGTCATCATTTAAGTGAGAGATCGGTGCAGATTAGGAGGCAACGTTCATGGCCCCTCTACAAGCTTCTCCGTAAGGACAGATGGCGAAAGTTCATTACAACTGATGAAGCTTGGATCTATCTATCTGATACCAATGCTAAATCTAAAGTTCAATATCTTAGCCGTGGACAGAACAGGCGAGACTTGACATCATCAACCACGGTGCCTCATGTCAAAGGCGTAATGGTTTGGATGGGCATATCCGCCAATGGTGTGACCAAACCTCGGTTTGTGAAACCAGGGGCCCAAAATAAATTTTGAATATTCCATACAGAAGATATTAAAGCCCTTTTTTAAGGATGATTACTGCAGATTGTACTCTAATAGTGATGCTGTGTTCCATCAGGACTCTGCCCCATTGCATGTATCTAAGGTCACCCAGAAATTCCTAACAGATCAGCAAGTGAAATTCCTGAGACCAGAACAATGGATTCCACACAGTCCTGATGCTTCACCATGCGACTATTTCCTATGGGGACATCTGAAAAACAAACTGAATAAGAAAAGATTTTCTACATTGAGAGGCCTTCAAAGAGCTATTAGAGAAGAGGTGAAGAAAATCCCCCAGGAAATTATTTTGAGGGCTTTAAAATCATGGCCGAAGAGTTGTAGACAAATCTATTATGCCGGAGGTCGACATATTGAGAAACATCGCTGAATTTATGTAATAAATTTTGGAAATAAAAACATTCAAAAATGATCCCTATAATTTTTTGTTACCCTGTACTTCATAGACAAATAAAGAAAACGTAAAATAAACATTGTTTCTTTTTCAAAATCAAATTTGGATTAAAAAAAGTGAAAAAGTATAATACTTTTTTTTTCAAATAGAAGAAATTTAATTTTTTCTTTTTCATTTTATCGATAATTTTTATTTGTTCTCGTTTTGTTTGTTTGTTTTCAAAATTTTCCCCATTTGTTAAGAAAAATAAATTGAGGTTGAAAATATGCAGATGTTGCAGCGACCGCTGCCGCAAGAGTTTTCTGCTACCGGGATTATATCTATAAACATTTCTCTTGCTTCATGAATTTTAAACATAAAAATTGGACATTTTTCGATCGTTCGGAATAACCGCCAATTCTCAGAACTCACCAGACGTGATTGGAGAAAACAAGGGGTTTGAAAAAAATGACAATAAAAAAATGAAAAGCAAAATAAAGGTGAAAAATGAAACCACAAAAACCCTTATGTCTTGGACGCAAATCAAGGCAAGTAACATAATCGTGCGTTTTTAAGTAGTGAAAAGGAGCTCAAGTCGTAAACCTAGGAATCGGGTTTAATACGAATGAAATAAAATTTCACATCATCAAGATGAGACGATGTGAGATTGGAGAAAAGAATTTTGGAGTTGTTGAAATGAAAATTGCGTCCATGGTTCCAACCATGTGAAGCAATAGATAATCTATCGAATTGAAAACTTGACTACATGATGCAATGGAACACACTCATTTTTCCGGGCATCAATAATTCGATAAAATGTCGATTGCTGCTCATGGTTGGAACCTTGGGAATAATTTTGATTTCGATAACGCAAAAGTTCAGCAATCCCCCTTTCGTTCACGGGAATGCGTTTTCTCCTGATTTAATTCTCAGCTACAGTGGTTTATCTAGATTTGTTTTCCACCTTTATTTTCCATTTTCAACGGAAAACTTTCAGTTAATTTTTTTTAAATTTTTTTTATTATTTCCCTTCACAACAGGTGAGTCTTGAGAATAGGTGACTATTCTTAAGAGCTCGAAAAATGTCAATACCTTTGTAATTTATTAATCATGTTAAGCGCTTACACTATCAAGTTCTGCTTTAGTTTTTGGAATTATTCGTTTAACTTTCCGTTAACCCCTATGTCCATTTTAAGCAATAACAATAAACAATAAAAATAATATTTTTATATTATTATTTTTTTATGTTGTTTTACTAATATTTGTTATTCATATGCTTTAATTATCTAATTTTATGTAGTTTCTTACTTTAAAAAAATTTCGATTACTTTAATGTAAATATTCAAATTATAATAAAAATTAAACACACTTTGGCATGAACATTTCTTTATACAGCTGCTTTCACTTTGTTGTTCATTTAAATTGTATTAATATGCCAGATAAATACTCGTACGGCATAATTAAAAAAAAATATTAAAAATATCAGTGCTGAACAACGCTTTGAAATCATGCACAAAACTAAAGGGCATGTGCCGACACAATCAATAATGCTAAAATATTTTTAATTTTCCTTATTTATTATTATTATTTGCCTTCATCAGTGACTTTGCCTTATTAAATTAAGCAAAATATACTTTTTGTAGTCCATCCCATTAGAATAGATATTGACTGTATTCAACATAACTTAGGATTCCCAAGCACGAATTTTCCCACAGCATCGGCATTAAAGCTGCTTAGTATTGCTGAAGTTATAATAATTACCAAATATATCATTATACCTATATTAGAGTATTTAGTACTTATTACCTAACTCATTTAACATCTGAGTTTTGCATGAAATATATTTATTAGAAGTAGCAAGTTAAAGCCAAAATTTCCAAAACAAATATAATTCTTATAAGACTCTTAACCCCTTAACGATCGGTTAGTTTTCAAGAAACGGTCATAAAAGTACCTATTTTTTGGCTTTTGTATTACGTATTTAATTAGTGCTGCAACTACTTTTTCAATATTTTTGACTTTCAATGCATAGCTAGTTTTTTGCTCCATTTCATTTACCGTTGTTTTTTGAATTATTTACTCTTAGATAAAAACGTTTTAAAGGAATTTATATGAAGAAAATAAATTGATTTTAAATTATTCACCGTTAATTTTTTTTTAAAGAATTACTATAAATAAAATAACTCGCGTTTTCAGATAACTTTTAAAATTTTTAATTTTTTTAGTAACGTACTCCTCCCAAGCTACCATGTTAACGTTTTTCCTCGAAATTATCTAACATAGCGAATAAGATATAATTAAATATAAAAAAAAGTACCATAGACTATTTTTTGATCAAATAGTGATCAAATACCATCAGTATTATAGGCTAGCAGATATCAATGATAGTATCTTTGAATTATTTGGAAAGATAGTATCGTCTATAGTTAAATTTTGAACAATGCTAACGCTTAACTAATCAGAAAATTCCATTTCGTCTTTCTCTCATTCCACTCGAACGATTCCACGTGCGGACAGTGACCTTCCATGTGCTTCGAATAATGCCAAATTTCATTTTCTCTCTGTTAAATGATTTAGGAGTCTATAAGGGACAGGCATACAGAGATACTTCAATTTTGATACATATAGATGACAAAATATAGTATTCTATTTTCTTACAACAATGTTTCCGAGATTGTTCAGAAAGCGTCGATGAATTTTTAAATCTGGACAAAACTTAATTTAATTCTCTTTACGCAAAGTGGAGCATTATACCACAGATGTGGCTTACCACTTCAAGAGCCACTTCATAGGCAATTCTACAACTGGTATATTTAACAGGTACATTTAATTTAGTTTGGTGCATTAAATTAAAGGATTCTTCTTTATAAAAGACTATAAAAGTCAATATTTGCTTACAAGGTTTCCACAGATGTTATAAAACTATAATATTGATTATAAATTTACATTAAATGAATGTAGAATTTTTATACCAAAAGCGCCGTTGGGGCCATTTTGATCGTTTTTTGCAATTTTTATTTAATTTTTGAAGATACACGTGAACTTCGAAGGTCATATTTTCTGAATTTTTCTAAATCATTTCTAAGTATGGAGTATCAAAATTTCATGCCCTTCTGTTGATTAGTAAAATAAATAATTACGGAACTAACTAAAGCAGCCAGAAAGGGTCATTTTGTCGCCTAATATAAGAACGTTCATTTTTGAAGTTTTATGTTTTTTTTCGAATTTGCGAACATTATGAAGATGCATTGTATACATGTTGGTTGTTTTTTTTTTTGGTCAACAAGATCAAATTCACAATCACCAGGTTTCCAACCAGCTGTGCGAACGAAGCCGTATCCGACTGCGACACTGGAGCGTGGAAGGAAGTTTACATTTACTAAGTTTCGAAATTAAATGAAGAAAATAGGTATCATTAGACAAATTTGTTTGAGCAGAATTCTTAAGAGTAGTTTGCACTATCATGTAGGAGGTATAACTTCGAAGGTCATTTTTTTGCCATATCCGCCAGAAGCTAATTCAAAAAAAAGAAAGATTGAAAGAAAAGATTACGAGTAGTTGATAGTGATTAATATACTGAGTGTTTGCATAAAGGTAGCTTTGGCATGAAGTATTGTCTGTCTAATTTCCCTATCAATTACAAACTCATTATACTTCTCGACGTAGAAAATGAATACAATGGGAAAATAAAAATAAGTGTTAAAATTAGGAGTAAATTGTTGTAAAGCATGTAAAAACTAATATTCGTTACACTACAATGGTCGTTACAAAACTCTTGCAATGCCGCAGTATGGTAAAATATATTAAGAGAATCAGTTCATTGGAAGTTTGAGTAAGCTGTTTCTATTTTGTTTTCTTATACAAGAGAAATAATAGTTTTATGCTCGTAAAACACGAGCCTTAAATAGAGTTTACTGGAATTCAAGCATAAAAGATGTGTGCTTTTTGATTCAAAATTGATTAGAAAAGTGTTAAATATAAAGCTCATTTAAATGTAGATTATTGTATCTTCTTAGAGTATTTAATTTTGGTTACTCTTTCACTATTTAGTTCAGTTAAAAATATTTTTCGTCTTTTTAATCTTTTATTTGCATGTTTAAACTCTGAAAAACAATTAAATACAGCATGTTTAATAGAATATTAAAGGTTTACTAGATTTAAACATTTAACCATAAAGCCAAGACAACAAGCAAATAAGTTATTACAGATACGATCTGCAATTTCATGAGAGTAATAAGATATCGTAAAAAGAGGAAACTTCGGTGAAAATATCTTCACACTACGCAGTTTCAGTATAAATTGTAACGTGGCAAGTGAAAATTTTGTCCATTTTAGTTTCTACTAAATTTTATTCTGAAAATCATCATATTTTTTTGAAATAAAAAATTGAGCAAAATGTCACTTTTTAGTCTTGTTATAATTTGCTTTACTTGTCTAGGTATGTTTTCAGTTTCAAATTATGTTTATTGTGCCGTATTTTATAAATAATTTGATTTTCATTACAAACCTTTTTTTTTTCAATGTAGCTGGAATTGGAGAAAGTAAGTACTAAGAAAATTAAATTTCTCGAAAGTATTACAGTTTTGTGCTAAACATTTGTTTCATTATTCTGTAATGTAATAATTTTCAATAATAGGTTAAAATCCAATAAAATTAAAATTAATTTTATTAAATAAATTTAACTTCAATAAATATATTTAAAAAATATTTAATGTCAATAAATAAATTAAAAAAATAAATGCAGAATGATTGTAAAACGATATTTAGAATTATGTATCAATTATATTTAATTAAATAAAGAGAACAAAATTTTCCACAATAAAATTAATCATCTTAATATGACACGTGTAACCATTTTCATGCTTGATATTTAGATTTAAATACACTATTTAAAGTGTATATTAACGCATGGTGTGCTGTTTTCTTGAAATTTAGAAATCGTCACAATTTTGTGGGGTTAACTAACCACGGAATTTAGAGTATTATGTATCTTTAAAATTAGGCGATTTGTTAATAAATTATATGATCATTTTAAGCTTTTAAGTTCATTTTAAAAATTATGTGATCTTTATATGATATTCATAAGAAATAAATAAAAAAAATATAAAAAATAAATTTATTGAAATAAATATTTTTTTACATATTTTATTTTTATTTCAGCTCCATTTCTTTTCAAGTTTCATGTTTCTGATTTTCATTCTTGTTTTACTTTTTTAGCTATGCCTATAGGTAAAAATAAAATATTGTGGTTTCTAGAATATTTCCATGATCCTTTTATTCAAATAATTTATATCAAAATATCTCTATGGTTAAGACCCATAAGCCAAAATCTGAATTGTAAAAATTCCAAAAAAATTTCAAAAAATAAAATTCTAAAATGTTATTGTAGAGTGCGCAAAAAAATAAAAGAAACATCCTGAATAACTTTGGATCCAATGATCGGATTTCAGGTAAGACTCAGTCTTAATGGTTCAAGAGGATGACACCCCAATTGCAAAGCTTATAGTTAAATTGCAAAAGTTTTTCTATTAGCTAAAAAAAAGTCTTCGATATATGGAGAAATAAGCATAAAGTAAAATTTACTTGAAGGTGACTTAACTTTCGCTCTACTAACAAAACTACTTGGACCATATTTTGTGGCTACTTCCTGTATTTTGGTGATCAGAAAATATGATCTGCTGAAAAAAATGTCTGTTTATTCACTGAAAGTACGTTTTAATGTTTGATTTTTTAACTTAAAATATCGTGTCATCTGCACTTAATTAGGATATGTGTGGGATGTCACCCCTCTGAACTATTAAGGTTGATTTCTTAAACGTGGAGATCTAAACATTAGAAACATTTATTCAAGGTAGTCCGTACTTACTCCCCACTGGACGCTTTAGCTTTAAAACCTAGTTTCCTTATAAATTGACATTAATTCAGCTCATTATCTAAACTGTTACATGTAGAATGGAGGTTCTTAATTGAAACTTAATAAATATGATAAATACCAATGTATCACTTTAAAGAAATACGTAACTGTTTTACTGTTTTAATAACTATTTAAATACTTTCTCTTGGGCAGGTAACTGTTTTAGTGTTTTAATAACTATTTTAATACTTTCACTTGGGCAAGTAACTGTTTTACTGTTTTAATAACTATTTTAATGCTTTCTCTTGGGCAGGTAACTGTTTTACTGTTTTAATAACTATTTTAATACTTTCTCTTGGGCAAGTAACTGTTTTACTGTTTTAATAACTATTTTAATGCTTTCTCTTGGGCAAGTAACTGTTTTACTGTTTTAATAACTATTTTAATACTTTCTTGCTTACAGCAAAATTTTTCGATGGCATTGGTAAAAGCTATTTGTCTACTTTAATACATTTATATCCTACTCTAAAACCTAATGCTTATTAAATTTTTAATTTGTTCTTAATATAAATGTAATCTAAGAGTGCATAAGTTTTCTGACCTCCATATTCAAGTTCTTGGCTTTGACTCTCTATTCCATGTCTTAAAATGTTATATTTATAGTAATTTTCATCTGTGCATCTTAGTTTACTAAGTACTTTTGAACCCATACTCATATTATTAAAAACATATTAATATAAGTAATTTATTGCAGTATAATAAAACCATCTTAGCCTTTATTTAACAGATTGGTTATTTTGTACACACTGTTAGTAATTACTCAGAAAAATGGTTAAACAAAAATTTATTTAATTGCTACTTTACCATATTGAAACAAAACAGTCAATTAATCATAAATAAGACGGTAATCAAGCTGCTAATTGTGAGAAAAACCGTTTATTAACTGCCCTCACCTAATTCCGTTAAGCAACCAAATTTTACTGCACCAACTCAGCCTATCTCATTAAGTCATATAGTGCAATCTTGCAACCTTGTAACTGCTTATATTATAGCCGAGAGGGCTAATCTGTCAGTTTCTTGACCGACAGAGCTGTGGTACGGGTTCCAGCGATAACGCCTGAATATTTCCTCCATTTTCTTCATATGAAGAATTTCCAGTGTTCTGTAATCCGCAATTTACTTTCTGGACATTCCGATACCCATTACCTAACCAAAAGTCAAGTTATGTTTTTTTCGTCAAGTTAAATTTTTTTACTCTTTTGGAATCATGCTAGTTGTAAATGGTTAAAAATCCTTGCAGTTTTTTATTCATGGTCTTATAGCCATGCCAGTGGAAAATGGTACTGATTCTTCAGAAGTGTTTTTTAATTTTTTTTAAAAAAAAATTATTTCTATATTACCCATGGTAATGGAATATTCAAGTTTTTTTTTAATGATCTAGCCATTATACTAATAAGAGTACTTAATATGGATATTGTGGATTTGTTCGGAAACGTTAAGAACCGATTGGAATTGCAAATTGAGAGTATCAATTGCATTATGTTATTTCTAGAAACTAAAGTAAAGGAAATTGCATTCCTATAATCACTTTTAACGAAATAATATTATATAATGACAATAATTTTTTATCTGATTCTTATCTTGTCCTGAATTGGAACTTCCCCTTTTCGTTATTTGTCGCTATTTCCCAATTATTTCATTAATATGGTTTGTTAGATTCTATCAGAAAATAAATAAATTAATAAATAAAAATAACGAATTAAAATTTTAACACTTGAAAACACACTAGGCATAAGATAAACTCTCTAGATTAAATATGATAAGTAAAGTGTTTCATAGGGTTTCAATACATATTTATCATTTGTCAACAAGCATGGTAACTAAGATGTATTGCGACTTCATAATTAATCTACAATTAATCACTTAACTTTACGTAAAATTTTTTAAAATCTGTAAGTATAGTTAATCTTTTCCAAAAAAGCATATAAATACAATCACCTATAGATCACAGCTAATTTTGTTATTCTCAAAAAGAAATGGATACCTCTGGAAATGACGCCACCATAGGTAAATAAGGGCATTTGTTGAAGCGGAACCTAGCCAGGTTCGACACACATTCGTGTCGTCACTGACAAGCATCCAATTGCATCTGATGTAAATCACTTGGTTAAGCAAAATCACTTCCTTTCTACTCGAATTGCAAGTACTCAATTGCAAAAATGAAAAGATTTTAAACTAGAGAATATATGAAAAAAAATGATTATCACAAAATCTAAGATGCTTTGCATTTCAGATTTCAATCTTTGTAAGTATAATTCTTATTTTTTTCATCTTTATTCTGGGAATTATACTTGCTAGCAATATTTTGTAAAAATTATTTTTTTATAAGTTTAATTTAAATTATTTATAAGTTTACTGTTTCTCAAAGTAATATACTCAAAATTTACTCTAAGTTTAATGATTACGATGGTATTTTGAAATTTTTCATAGATATATTTATCAATATATGTATATACACACACCCACACATAATAATACTTAAACCAAAATAAGTAATTTAACCAAAGTTAAAGCACTTTCAACTATATAGGCCACTGAAAACTCATACTACAATATCAATAGCCATCCATCTAAAGTACTAGACTGAGATGACCCGTCATCAATAGATATGTGAATCTTTTACTGTTTAGGCATGTAAGAAGTGCACAATTCCTGATTATGCTGATACTTAATATGAGATAATCATTTATTGAAGCTATTGTGCTATGATCATTGTGAATAGTGAAATCGCGTTTTCTTTTGAACTAAAAGTTGATGATCGAAGTACCAAACAATCAATTCCATCGAAGATAAAAGAAAATTAACGTCTATACTAGACAACATTTTGAAAGATCACAAGCATGGCCACAATTATAAATTCAAAAATAATATATTAGCAGATCATCTGGCAATCTTTTAGTTTAAAAAAACGGACAAAAAAGAAACGAAACGAGCTGAAAATGAACTATTCAAAATTAAAAATCTTTTCTAATGGAGTAGCATTGATCTGTTCCACTTTTAAGAATATAGTAAGTTCCAATTTTCCTGTAAGGCTATTCAATTTATTCAAAAAATATAAATGCTGATGAGTCGATAAGGGATGATTAACTTGCAAATATTCACTCACATCCATTGTTCCCAATCATTGGGTAGGTAATTTTTCACACCATTTATACTGTACTAAAAAAGTTGAAAATGTGTTTGCGGACTGAACCTGGATTGATATTTAGCACTGCCAAGTTCCCAATCTACTAAACGGGGGGCTTAGACTATAATAAGGCAGCATCAATTACAAAATATGTCAAGGTATTTATAAGTTCTGTTGTGTTTTGTGCTCCATTTATTCCTCAGCTTTTAATAAAGCTAAATTTATATAGCAGAATATGTAATTTTTGATACGAATTAATTGAATGTCTTCTTCCTTACTGAAGGTTTCAATGAAATGTATTTTCTAAATTCCATAACCTATGACTAAAAAGCTACCTACTAAACCAACTAAAAGACAAAAATTTAGCTAAAATAAAAGAAAACAGTTTTTTAAAGCAAGGGACCGAAACAAGTTAGTTTTGTGCTAAACAAAGCTTTAAAATAGCAAAATGATAGTAAGATAACTGAAATTGAAAATGACGAATGAAATTTGCTTTGTCTGTGAGGCTAATTTAATGCAAGACATGATAAAATGATCAAGTTTTTACTTTGTGGAGTTGAGCGTAAGAAAATTGTACTGATTTAGATTCAAGAAATAATTTTTTAAAATTTTTTTTATACTTTAAACATATTTAGACCGAACCATTATTACCTAACAGATATTACATCTAATATTTTTTTCAATTAGTTCATAATTAAATCTGTCTCAGCTTTTGAGTAAAATTTATGCTTGAAGTTTCTTGTGCAAATCATCTTCCTAAACATTTTGTCGACTTGTAATATCATTAACTGACCTCAACCTCTGAGGTTATCAGTCCTGACTTCTTTTTAACTTTTATATGCAGCTTACCAGCATTATTAAACCAGTTTACTCCATGTTATTCAATGGAGAGTAGCGCAAATCAGGGAAATTCCATACAATTTCACCCATGGGCTTAACGCTTGGATGGTTAACATAATTTTTTGTAATAATATTAAACATATTTTTGTCGTGTTACTTACTGTCTATTAAATTGTTTTATTATAATTGCTAAAATTTTTCAACTTGGTACAATTTAAAGAGCAAGTGATACGAATTAGGAACTGGTTTCTTAAAATGTACCGCTAGCAGGTCTTATAAAAACAATTAATATTTCGGACTTACTCTTCAGTTTCTAGGTAAATAACTGTACTTAAGCATTAGAATTTTTTCCAGAAACTAAAAAAAAATATTTTATAAATCTTAAATCATTATTCGTATTATTTCCGCATAATCCCTTCAGAATTGATACTGTGAATATATTTGTATGCTTATATATAAACAATAATTTAATCTGAAAATTTAATACACTGATTGTTTCTTTAGTTCACTACATCCCACAAAGTAAGCTATTTATCTGTAATATTTCAGTAGAATAAAGACAGATTTATTACATTTGCGATACATATCCGGCATTTCAGGTACAATGTGACGCTTAAATTCCATTGATTTTTGCATGATCCGAGTTTTAAAAATGTTAGCCTTTTTTACAATATTGCTTATTTTAGATTTTTAATTATGGATAATTAATGAAACTCATTGTTGTTTAGTGATTAACTGGAGGATGTCAAATAAAGCACTATTGCACTGAATCATCCTTTAATAGAAAAAGTTAATAATCTATCAATAAACAAACAAACTCCAGAAAATGGTTATTCGTAAAAAAACATTTTAAAAATAGTTGTTAAAACAAATAAAAACTTAAACTGTTGAATGAAAGCATCATCTCTTGAAGGTGGCCGTCACCGAGGAAAACGAAGTATCGGGACGAAATCACGGACGCTGCAACAATCATGATGGCAAAATATCGACTCTAAATATTGGACAGCAGCCTGTTCCCTCTTAGCCGTGGTTGTCGGTTGTGTTCATCCGCAGGTATCCTGGTCTGGTCTTCCTACCCTCGGCTTTCGACCTAATCCTCGATCCTTCTACCCCGGAATTCCATGATTTCCAAGAGCTGTAACAATTAAGAGCTTCTGCACTCATACATAAAATATTGATATAAACTGTTGGAAGCAGCTTCTTTTAGTACATTATATTTTCATTATTAAGTAAGTGTTTGGGATAGATCCCAGTTAATATTATAGTACTAATAAGTATATAGAGTATTCTAAGTTGAAACAGAAGATTACAGAAACATTTGCTGCCAAAACTAAAGAAGATTTCACTAAAATACAGGAGCAAGTAGCCAATAGGTTGAATTGCAAAAGAGATAATGCTCATTCTTAACACATTTATGATAAACTAAAAATGTTACTGTATTTTCTATCATGTATATAATGGACAAAAAATATATGGAACCGGTGTTTTCATTTTAACTATATCTTTGAGAAATGTACGACATCGATATTCGTATAGTATTATGTGGATATCCCTTAGGCAAATATTTATAAAAATAGATGCGTATGGATATTTATTTGATGTATATATAATTACTCATTGCATCTACACTTAGTATCTCTTTTTATAGATGTCAGAAATATTGGTAAGTTATCTATCTACACGTGGAGCTCTCGTATATATATATAGATAATCATTTATTGAAGCTATTGTG